AGAAGAAAATCAAAGACAGTGCTGGTGTGATGGGGCATGCCTTAATTCTAGCACCTGGGAAGCTGAGGCAGGAGGATTGGAGTTCACCTGCAGCTTCTATCGACTTGGAGGCCAGCCTAGACTACAAGAAACCCTGTCTCAAAAGAACATAGGCAAGGTGTGGTGGTACATGCCTGGTAATACCATTATATGAGACCTTGTCTCTAGAAAAGAGAATAGAAGAGACAAAATAAAATAAAAGAATAAAAAAAGAACAGAAAAAAGAAGCAAAATGAAAATGAAACACAGGTCAGGCATGGTGGCGGCCATTAGTATTCCAGCATTTGGGAAGTGGAAGTGGAAAGACTATAAGCTCAAGAGGGCTATCTTTTTACACCGTCTCAAAACCAAAGCCAAAGCCCAAACCCAAACCCAAATAAAAACGTATAGATAGGGCTGTAGAGATGGCTCAGCGGTTAAGGACACTGACTGTTCTTGCAGAGGACCCGAGTTCAGATCCCAGCACCCACATGGCAGCTAACAACTGCCCGTAACTCCAGTTCCAGAGGATCTGACAGCCTCTTCTGTCCTCCGAGGGCATTGCACAACACAGGTGCACTTACCTACATGCAGGCATAACATTACTCATACACATAAAATAAAAATAATAAATAAAATATTTTTTAATAAAACAAATAGGCTGGGCATGGTGGCACACGCCTTTAATCCCAGCACTCTGGAGGCAGAGGTAGGTGGATCTCTATGAGTTTGAGGCCAGCCTGGTCTCCATGGTGAATCCAGGACAGCTGGGGCTACAGCGAGACCCTGTCTCAAAAAGACCAAAAAAACAAATAGACAAAAAAAGACAAGAAATCTAGAGGGATAACAACTGCTGACTAAAATCTGCAAGGAAAGGATTAAGAGGGTTAGATGACTCCAGGAGTGGAGGCGCATGCCTTTAATCCCAGCACTCTGGAGACAGAGGCAGGCAGATCTCTGTGAAATTGAGGCCAACCTGTTCTACATAGCAAGTTCCAGGCCAGCTGGGGCTACAGGGAGACTCTGTCCCAAAAAGATTTTTTAAAAAATCTGATAAAAAGGCAAACAAACAAAAAAACAAAACAACAAACAAAAAACGAAACAAACAAAAAACTAACAAACAAAAGGTTAGATGACTAGGAATTTTTTAAAAGGTGGGGGAGGCTAGGGTTACAGACCAGTGTTAGAATGCTTGCCTAGAATGAGAGCAGCTCTGGCTTCATCCAGCATAGCAAAGAAGAAAAAGCAAATATATCTGAAAAAAAGGAATTTTCTGAGAAAAGTTAAGGTGAATCACACTTTCTTTCTTTTTATTTTTTTTGAGATAGGGTTTCACTATGCAGCCCTGGCTGGCCTGGAACTCACTATGTAGATCAGGCTGGCCTCAAACTCAGAGGTCCTGGGTGCTAGGATTAAAGGCATGCACTACAACACCAAGCCCAAAGCACAATTTTTTTTTTTTTTAAAGGAGTGCACCACCACACCTGGCCTCTTTTCTTTTTTTAAAGATTTTTTTGTTTTTAAATTTTATGTGTATTCGTTTATTGCCTGCATGTTGTAAGTGCACCCTGTGCAGTGCAGTGCCCTCAGAGGACAGAGGAGGCTGTCAGATTCCCTGGAACTGGAGTTACGGACAGTAGTTAACTGCCATGTGGATGCTGGGATTCGAACCCCAGTCTTCTGCAAGAACAGTCAGTGTTCTTAACAGCTGAGCCATCTCTCCAGCCCCACAAAGCACATTTTTTAAAGGACAGTTTAGAAGCTCCAAATTAACACTGTTAGTAAGATTCTTTTTGCTTTAAGGAAGGATTTTCCCATTTTGGAGTCCTGCCAGTCTGAGCCCAAACATAAAGACCCTACATTTCAGGAATTTTCCAATGAAGTTAAAGTTCTTTGGTTCCCCCTACTGTTCAAAAATGTGCTTTAATAATGTCAGTTTAATACTCAGACATCAAAAATTATTTTATAATTATTTAATTACTTATTTATCTTTATTTTATGTGTATGAGTGTTTTGCCTGCATATATGTTAAGTGCACCCATGTTGTGCAATGCCTGCAGAGACTAGAAGTAGGCGTTGGATCCCTTGGAATTGGAGTTATGGACGGTTGTTAGCTGGCATGTGGTGCTGGGAACTGAACCTTGGTTCTCTGCACAAGTAGCCAGTGGCCTGGAACTTGCTATGTAGATCAGGCTGGCTTTGAATTCATAGAGATCTGCCTGCTTCTGCTTCCTAAGTGCTGGGATTAAAAGCATGTGCCACCATGCCTGGCTCCAAATTTTTTAAAAATATACACATAAGGGTTAGAGAGATGGCACAGCTGGTAAAGGCACTTGCCACCCAACCTGATAACCTGAGTTCAATTCCCAGGACCCACATGGTGGAGAGAGAACTGATTCCCACACACTGTACTCTGACCTCCAAATGTATGACATGGTAAGTGTGCATGCACACACTCAGACACACTAAATAAATAAAATTTTTAAAATATGCCAGGCGTGGTGGCACACGCCTTTAATCCCAGCACTTGGGAGGCAGAGGCAGGTGGATCTCTGTGA